TTATGTTTTTTTTAAGTTTGCTTAGACCTGAAAAATTCTGGTTTTACAGTACTACGACATATAAATACTTGTGTAATGTCAATCCCGGAAATTATTGGAAACAAAAGTCCCCCCTGCTGTGGAGTCTATAATTTGTTTTATAGTTCAAAGTAATGTATTCCATCAAATCAAAAACATGAATTTGACTCTTCTAATTCACACAAATTTGTTGTGGAATATATAGAAACTTTCACATAATTTATTTACTCTAAAATTCAACGTGGAGCCTATAAAGTCTAAAAGAATAAATATTATTATTAAATATAACTTTGAAAAAATTATCTGCTATTTAGCTACTAGTTTATTAACTATTAATAAAATATAATTAATTAATTTCTAACGTTCGCTTTAATGTTAAACCATAATTATAATTTTGAAAACTTGGCTTACATGCATTGAATAAGAAAGCTTTAGTTTATTGTGCCTATTTCGTAATAATATATTAAATCCTCGGGAAATTTTTATATAAATATCTCTTGGTTTGATTATTGCCCATTCTTTAGTACTATTACATTCTTGCTTTTAATTACTTGTAATTCTATTACTTTTCAAAGATCATCCATTTAACTTTTACTAAAAATGAATAAATGCAATTCTTGTACTCATTATTATCTGCCAGAATCTTTCATGTATAAAGGAAAAACTTATAAAACTTGTGCTAATTGTCTTATTAATAAAGCCAAAAAACAAAAAAAATTAGATACTGATAATACTCAACCTATTATAGAGACAATTTCAGCACAATCCATTTGTGATTATATAGAAAACTTAATCTCCAATGTTGAAAATAATAATAGAATTTCATTTGAAATTCATATTGATCTTAATGATGATATTTTTTTAGAAGTTGAGCCTAATGACCTTAAATCAATTGTAAGAATAATAGTAAATAAAGTTGAAGAGGGCGATGATTATGTCTGGTCAGCTACAACAGCACTATATACCTCAGTTCGATTTGATAATATTTCCACATATTACTTTACATGTTCTCAATACTATGAATTAGAGTGTGAATATAAGCAATCAAATCGAAAAAGAATTGCTCGATTTGATTGTCATGGTAAATTAACTCTTCATGTCGATGTACCTGTGATGGAAGCTATATTAAAACTTCACCATGATATTATTCATGAAAAACCTGAAGATGTCTCAACACCAGAAGAAATTAAACAAGAGATCCGTACCAACCTTCATTTAGATCCAAGACAAATTCGTATAATTCTTTGTAATAAATTTAAAATTTTAACTATTATGATAAAGTAGATTTATTATTGGTGGTCAGTGTTTGCCCAAGACTCATACAAAACAGATGAAGACTATGTCATTTCAGCACTTACATTCCTTAGATCAAATCATGCTCCAGGTTGCAAACTCTGCTTTGAATTAATAACTGATAAAATAACCACAATAGGCTTTATAACACCCCTATTTAGTACTCTTTTATCCATATCAGAAGTCCATTGAGATGCCACTTATAAAACTGCGAAAGGCCAGTTTGAATTGTATGGTCTTATTGGTAATATTGATGGCGCAGGTTTTCTCTTAGCATATTTGCCATTAAATACTACAAATACTCAAGAAAAAGAGTCACATGAGTATTTAAAGACAAATGTTCTTGCCAATTTTTTTAATTCTATTCGGAGTTATGAGCTAAATCTGTCCTATTTCTACATAGACAAAGATTTTGCTGAAATAAATACAGCAAAAGAGGTATGGCTACAATCTGATATACAATTATGCCAATGGCATATTGATCAAGCAATCAATAAAAAATTAAAAAGTAAAAAAAGAATACAATACACCCAATATCAGCCTGAAGAAGCTGCTGCTAAATTTAGTTTCATTAACCCAAAGTTTAAACCAGAATTGAATCGTTCTGACCCTGATTATTACCAAGTCTGCCCATTAGATCTACGAAAAGATATTATGAATCTCATTAGAAAGCATTTCAACATGCACCCAAAAATACCTATTAATGCAGATGGTAAATGTTTGATATCTGCAGAGATTCAAGAACATGCAGTGCTTGAAATATATAGTTTTTGTGTAGAACATAATCTTGTAATATTATAGTCATACCTGTGGTCTTCATGGTATAAAATATCACGTTGGCATCTCTGGGCACGTTCAATGCGAGCAACAATACCAATTGGAAAAACAAATATAATGATAGAATCGTATTGGAAAGTGCTCAAACATTGTTATTTATATCATTTTAACAGGGCAAGATTAGATTATTTGGTATAGATTATTTGTTCTCGAGTTTTACCTGATCAAATCACTCGTTATTAGCAAATATATCATGGTCAAATATATCATGGTCAAATAAACACCAAAATGGTTTGAAGAATTCAAGAAAACCTGGAATCAACTTGCTAAACAGCCAATTGCTGATAATATGGAAAACCATTATGCAATTGATTTAAATTGTTGGATATGTAGCTGTCCTTCATTTTTACATAGCCGATTCCTTATTTGTAAGCATCTCATCCACCGGGCAATTGAGAAGGAAAGGTTGCATAACCCAGAAGAAATCCGACTTATTTATCAAAATTTCAAACGACGAACAGATTATCTGTTCCTTATCTGGAATGGCAATGAACCAAAGGATACCATTCACATACCTGACTTAGACTCACAACAGCAATCTAGTACTGTTTTTTCTGCTGACAATGATGATGAAAGAGTTGATCTGGATCTCTATCAACAATGTGAAGCTAAGGTAGTCGAGTTAGAATATCTAGCAAAACACCTTAGAGAAAAATTGTCTATTAATAATTTAAAACACGTAAGAAATGCCATTAATAATATGAACTGAGTGTTCACTATGATAAATGACATAAAATCATTGCAATGCAATTCAAGGCGTAGTAATACATGGAATGCGAAGCCATGGACCATGTTTTTGCAATAATTAGTTATTTGTAATAATTAAGTTTAAAACA